GGCAGCGTATGTTTGTGGATAAAGCACCCCCCACCTCAGAGCGAGTGCTGATGAACCGCACGGCTTTCAGCCGTGATACGGCCCCCGAGCTCCAGAAGAGGTTCAGCCGCTCCATGCAGGAGCTGGGTAGGGCAGCCTCAGCTTACTCGGATGGTGAAGAGTCTGCACAGAGCTGCAGCTGGACCGTGAGCCGGGACTCAAGCGTGGACACAGACAGCACTGAGTCCAGAGCCCGCAGGAGCCATTTCTCCTCAGACTATGGTACAGATTTCTCCCAGGATGAAGCCCAGAAGCTGTTGCTTGAAAGTGGTGGAGGCACTGCTGAGCCTGAAAGCCCCTCACCAGAGAAGCACAAGGACTATGTAGACCTTGGCTTGCCTGAGAGCCCAGCTGAGGAGAGAGAAATGCTGCTCCAGGGAAACAAGGAGAGCAGCCAAGGAGCTGTCCAAGAGGAAAGTGGAGAAGGCAGGGTCAAGCCTCATTTCAGTCGGCCGCACCGCAGCCCCAAGAGGATGGGGGTGCACCACTTGCATCGCAAAGACAGTCTGACACAAGCCCAGGAACAGGGCAACCTTCTCAGCTGAGGCAGAGCAAGAAGTAGCCACGCTTAGCAGAGCTGTGGGATGCCCCCATCAGTCCACCTGTGGGAGAAGCCTCCCTTAGTACCCTCTTCCCAGGGGAAATCTCTGAGATTTTATATTTATTCTCTTTTGCTACCTGGAAGAGCTGGGATCTCCCTTCCCTGGCACCTCAGACCCTCAGTACAAGCACACACAGTGTGCAGAAGCACACCCACTGCCCCAAGACACTTGCAGCTCTCTTCACAGCCTCACACTGGTGCCTGTACCAGAGCTAGTTCTTGGTACCCCTTGTCCTGGTGCTTGTGCCTCTTTTTGCTCTCATCTCCCTTCCCACTCAGGTACCTGAAGCCCTGTGTGCTCTCGTGTTGTTTCCCTGCAGCTGCTCTGCTCTCTTTTAACTTGTGCCAACAGGGCAGAGTGCCTGTGTGGTCGTGTCTGATTCCCTGGGAGCCCCAGCCGCTGTGCGTGGGGCACGAGGACTCTCCCAGCAGATGGCTGTGTGCCGTGGGGATGAGCTGGGATTGCTGCTGTCTCATTTTCCTCCTGGGTTTTGTTTTCCCCAGCCACCCACTGGGTGGGTCTCCAGAATCTGCCTCTGCAGGTCACTGTCATGTGTCTCCAGGGCTGGGCTCAACACCTGGTCCCCACTGAAGCAGTGCACAGGGGCTGGTGCTGTGGTGTGGGGAAAGGGCGCTGCCTGCTGAGGTGGTTTGGGGAGGCAGTGCCTGGTGGATGCTGGGGTTTGTATTTATCTGTCTCCTCCCTCACACCTCTTCCCCTGTTCTCTGTGCTGTTGTTTTGTTTGAACGGTGCTGATGCTTTGCTCTTGGGTGGGCTTCTTTCTTCTTTCCAAGCCTTTTGTTTTGGGGTGTATTGTTTTTTTCTTTCCCCCACCCCGCATAAACAGACACAGCTGTTGGCAGCCGGTCTGATGCCTGCACTGAGGGTGTGTTGAGGAGTCTCAGCTATCAGAGCTGCACTCCCCTCTGATCCTGGCCTCCAGCCTGCAGAAACCCCTCCAGACTTAGGAACAAGGTTTTTCCCCAGGCAAGCAAGGCATGAAGGATGCTACCAGGCTTTTCTGGGAAGGGCTTGGTGCAGGGCCAGCAGGGATGCGAGGGCAGCACGCTGAGGAGCTGCTCCCTGCAGATGCACTACCTCATGGCTCGGCAGCAGCCCTTCACCTTGCACCCCTCCTCTGGGGGGCTCCAGACTCTGGTGCCTCTCTGGGGCCTCCCTTCCTGGGTAGGGCTCTCTGTGTGTTTTTCCTAGGGTAGTGTGATATTGTGTGACTTTTCTTCTCAGTCTTGTGTGCTCAGTGTCTTGTTGGGGGGGAGGGCATGGGAGGGGTCTGTAGATGTAGGTATTTTTTTGACGGCTTACAAAGCCCAGGCCTCCTGTTTTAATTTTGTCCTGTGCTCTTGTCTGTCTGGTATTTCTTGGCTTCCATGGGAGTGCAGGGCAGAGAACAGCCCAGTTCCCTTCACCATACCCCCTTCAAACCCTGCACTCAGCCTGCTGTCTGGTTTTTGAGTTGGGTTTGTGTTGTCCTCCCACCCTACACCATGCAGGCTCTTCACTGAGCTGGAGGAGAGCATTCTTCTCTCCAGAAGGGAGCATCTGTTCATATGCTTACATCAAGATTTGCAGCCAAGAGCTGTCTGGGGGCCTGCTCCCCTCCCCAAGCCCCTGTCTCTGTAAAGGGCTTGCAGCTTGTAGCTGGGGCCGGCCAGGGCTTCAGCTTGAGCCTGGAGGCTCCAGGGCCAGTGAAGGGGAGCTGTAGGCCTCTCTGACAAGCTGTGTAGGTTGTTTTATGGACCCTGGGCAGAGTTGCTGCCTACACACTCACCTTGTTTCCCACCTGGAACAGTTGTAGAGTTGGATGCCACCCTCTGGTGGGGAGGTGGGACTCAGTATTTCACTGCAGTGTTTCGCTGTGCAGACAGGCTGAGAGTGGGAGCCTCCTCTGAGCCTGCAGTGTTTATCTCCCCTATCCCAGTTGTGGAGGGGCGGGGGATTATCCTTGTGTTTGCTTCCATCAGTCACTCCACTGCTGCATTTCTTTTGTTCTTCTGCAGCACTGCTGAGGATTTGCATCTGCAGCAGCTGCCAGATCCTGCCTCACAGATGTCACCTGGGGTTGGCTGCTCACTGAGTGAGCTCTGAGGCTGCTGGTGGCCTGCAGTGGGGGTGGCATTGCCCCCCCAAGGCTCAGCTCCATCTCCCCTGAATCCTGGCATGCTGGTCAGTGGACAAGACTCTTTTGCTGAGGCAGCTGATGCTGATGATGCTGAGCTGGCTTTGCTCTGCTTTTGGTCAAGGTACACTGAAAAGCAAAACAATGAAGTGGAGGGGTGGCAAAGGTATGCCCACCACCTCACCAGACACTTGTGTTTTGCAGCATTAGGATGCTGGCAGAGGTTGAGGGGGAGTGGTGGCCTCAAGCAGCAGCAGAGCCCTCTCTTGCCCTGTGGGCATTGTGTTCTGTGCACTCCTGCCCACCTCCAGCAGTATTGGCTCTGGGGCCTTGAGCCCATCTGAGTTCCACTGTCCCAACTCCAGACTGTTAATCTGTAACTAATGTGGTTTTTTTCTGAGATTTTCAAACTGATGTATATTTTAAGACCAGAAATAAACTATTTTAAAAGTAGATGGCAATGGCAGGATTGTACTTGATACTGAATAAGAGCTGAACTGGAATGATCCTGAGTATGTGAGGGCATAGAGCTAGCTACTCATGATACAGTGTCCCAAGTTTTTTGAACTGTGTATGCCACCCATTGTCTTGTCCAGGGAGAGAAATTCTATGACCTGTAAGCTGATGATGTAAGAACCACTCAGTGTTACTCATAAGATTCTGCCTACCCCATTTCACATATTTTGCTGGCTGTACTGGCTGATCTGCCTTGGCCCATCTCCACATTCTCATCTAGTGTAGGATAAGGTGTAGCTAATCCTTTTTAATATTTGTTGGTTTTCTTGTAGCCCCAGCATTTGGAGTCATCTGAGAGTATAATTTCACTTCAGAAACTGAGTGACATGGGACCACATAGCATACCCCCTTGCTGGGGTTCTTAAGAGGTTTATAATTCTAGATTCAGTATTTTGTGTGAGGGGATAACTGTACATACCCCAGTCAGGAAGCCCTCCAAACATGAGGCAGAGAGTTCCTGCAAATTGCTGATACAGACAATTGAAGTGTTTCCTTTTCACATTGAAGAGTGATGCAGAGGTCAGAGGGCTGTGAAGAATTTTCTTCCATCTTCCAAGTCAGATTCCCTGTGCCTTTCTGAGCTGACTGTATGCCAGTCTAACACCAGAAAGAGTGTCTGGTTTCTTTGTCCCCATAATTAATGATTTTATTCCTTGTTCCCTTGAGTAGCAGCTGCTACCACAATTTAATCTTCTAGCCTAATATGAGCCTTGAAACACGATCTTCCTTGTCAGCAAGGGACGCTTGGCAAAGCGCAGGCAGCGCAACCCACGGTGCTGGTGCGGGCTGAAGCCTCCACCAGGGTGTGCACGGCTGGTGTCAAGCTCCCTGCAGAGCTGGATTAGCCCAGCTCGCTTCCTCCTGGCCCGAGGGAGGAGGGCCTAGGGGACAGAAAATCGGGCTGGCACCGACCTGTCCCCGGCGCCGGGTGGGACCGAGCCGGGAGGCGGCGGGCGAGCGGCTGGCGCCCCCTGCCGGCGCTCCGGGCCCACAGCGCCCTCCCGCTCCCGGCACCTGCCCGGCCCTGCCGGCACCGCCCGGACCCTGCCGGCACCTCCCGTACCCTGCCGGCACCGCCCGGACCCTGCCGGCACCGCCCGGACCCTGCCGGCACCGCCCGGACCCTGCCGGCACCTCCCGGACCCTGCCGGCACCTCCCGTACCCTGCCGGCACCGCCCGGACCCTGCCGGCACCTCCCGTACCCTGCCGGCACCGCCCGGACCCTGCCGGCACCTGCCGGGCCCTGCCGGCACCTGCCGGGCCCTGCCGGCACCACCCGGCACCTGCCCGGCCCTGCCGGCACCGCCCGGACCCTGCCGGCACCGCCCGGACCCTGCCGGCACCGCCCGGCACCTGCCCGGCCCTGCCGGCACCACCCGGACCCTGCCGGCACCTGCCCGGCCCTGCCGGCACCGCCCGGACCCTGCCGGCACCTGCCCGACCCTGCCCGGCCCTGCCGGCACCGCCCGGACCCTGCCGGCACCTGCCCGACCCTGCCCGGCCCTGCCGGCACCGCCCGGACCCTGCCGGCACCTGCCCGACCCTGCCAGGCCCTCCCGGCACCGCCCGGCACCTGCCCGGCCCTGCCGGTACCTCCCGGACCCTGCCGGCACCTCGCGGGATCGCACAGTGGCGGAGGCGGACGCTGCCGAGTGGTGCCACCATAGCTGTGACCTTTATAAAAGTCTCATCACGACAGCTGTACAAGCGATAGAAAGGACATCTCTTAGACGCATCTGAATAAATACAGCCTGTGCCCTGCGGGCGCAGCCGGGCGTGAGGGTGGCAGGGCGGCGTGAGCTACACATGCGGCGACGGGGACAATCACAAGCGGCCGAGGAGGCGTGTGAGGACACAGACGTGTGTAGAGATTCGCTCGGAGCCGAGGGAGGCATCGACAGGAGGTGAGATGTGTGAGAAGAGGGCTGGGCAGCCCAGCGGAGGCTGGGGCTGGCAGGTGCACGGGGCTCACTCTGGGCAGAAGCAGGCAAGGTAGCCCAGCTACATTTCTGTTTCTGCTAAGAGGCTGTCACCGAGGCCTGATGTCATCAGGACCATCTGGGAGCTGGAATCTGTGGAGAGAGGGAGAGAGCCATGAGCCATCCGGGCTGCCAGAGAGCGCAGAGGCTGTACTGCAGATCCAGAGGTGAGGAAGGAATTAAAACACAGTGGGGCAGGAAGAAAACTGCTGAAAGAAGTGTGAGATTAAGTAGGAACTAGGCCTGCTCTGGCTACACAGCAGAACAGAATCGATTTTTGGGGAGGAGGAGAAAGCAGAGACAGCAGCAAAAGGCCAGAGGAACATCAGGTCTGAGTACCCCCGACATGCAGGGGGTGCATGGCCCAGCCCTGCCCTTACCTAGCCCTGCACAGGCCTTTAAATCTACATTCATCAAGTGTTTTTCAGCTGAGAGTGTCCAGGTGGGGTAGGCTTTTTGGCTTCCCAAGAGCACGGAATGCTGTGGGCAATCAGCCATGTTACAGCAGCAGAGGCCTGGAAATAGTGACTTTTCTGCACTGCATGAATGGAGGGTTTGTGCAGCCCTCCCCTGCCTGCCTCAGGGAGGTGAGAGAAGCTTGCTGGCTCTGCCACGGCTCAGAGCCACAGCCAGGAGCACTGCAACTCTCCCCACAGCAAGTGAATCAACTGCAAGGAGAATGGGCCTGCATAGCAAGTAAGAAACTTAGCAGGGTACCAGTTTCCCATCCAGAAGCCTTTTGAAACTGAAAAAAAACCCTGTTTTTTTTCCTGGATGGGAGGGAGGAGATCTCTAGTGGCAGCCCTGCACATTCAAAACTACTGCAGGGGAATCTCTATTTCAGGAATCAATTTCTGGAAGCTAAATCCAAAACTTGGCCAAACTGTCACTGAATTATTTTTATGGGTTTAACAGATGAGGAGCCAGATGTTTTGAGGCTCAAGGATTGGCTGTGCTTGTCTACTGGTAGTCTGATATGAGAATTGTGAGGGGTGAAGGACAAATGAAGGTAAAAAAAAGCAAACCCCCAAACCAGTTGGATCACAACGTAGGCATGATAAAATACAGTATCATATATGCAAACTACACAGAACAGGCTACTGCTATCTCTGTAACACACCTTTTTTCCATTACAAGCAACAGACAGACAGTGGCACCTGGCTAACCCTTCACATGTTTGGGACATAGAGCTAGGAACAGCTGATGCTGTGCAGATTGCAAAGAGGTTCTGGAAACAGTGAGGAATGACACAAGTTTTGGCTAGGATATCTGGCAAAGGCTCCCAAGATCTTTAATATTCCTGCCCTTGAGTTTTAAGGCTTTCAGATTTTGTTCCTGCAGCATCAGGAAAAATGCCTCAGAGGTACCATTTCTACTCTTTGCAGCAGCTGCATTGTCCTTGGAGGCTGCCTTTCCAAGAGAGGCGCAGCCCAACGCTGTTTAACATGAAGGTCACACCTGGAAGCATATGTATTCCATGAAGGTTGTATGTATTCCAGTTCATGGGGAAAAGGGACAGGTACATTCAGCTCCCCACTGCAAGAGGCCAGTGGCACTGGAAACACCCGAGACACCCCAGGAGCCCCTCAGCTTCGGCCCCAAAGCCCAGCTCCCAGAGCTCTTACTGTTCTGGCAGATCCAGGGGTTCTTCTCCCTGGCTGTGACTTCATGGACCTCTGTCTCCTCCTCTTCCTCACCCTCTGAGAGAAGATCAGAGATCTGCTGCTGCAGCTCAGGACTAATGTTGTTCTCTGCCAGGATGAGTGTTCGTAGGGCTGTGGGGTAATTCTCTACCATGTCCAGCAAGGTCTGGGGGGAGAGTAAGATAAACAGGCTGACAAGCATCTCAAGGACTGAGCAGAACGCGTCAGTGCTTTGTCTCCCTGTGAACTCCAGCCCTCCTCCCCTTACTCCCACCTTCCCTTGACCTCCCTTCATCAGGGTTTATGAGAGACTGAGAACTTCCCATCTTCCTGTGGGAAGAGCTGAGTTTGGATTTTCTCGCTCTGTTTAAAGAAAGGAGTGCTCTACACTATTGCTGTTACATATCCAGGTCCATTCCCTCTTACCACTAGAAGCTGGAGATCTGAGAGGAGAGTCTGTGCTACTGGGCCTTGGCCTGTCCACAGAGTGGTTGTCCACAGAGATTTAGTTCTGATTCTCAGTCAAAAATCCAACCTCATTTCTTCCAAGCAAACAGCCACAGGAAAGCAAGAACCCCTCTGGGTGCAGGGAGGGAAGGAGGTGCATGTGCTCTCCAGCGTATGGTTGGAGGCAGGTCCGGGGCCTCTGCAGACTCCCCAGACCTGGGCCCTTGAGGTGTCTGTGATGCTGTAGAGGAACTGTGGGCTCCCATACCTGAGCTGACTGGTTCGTAAGTCCTGTTCCCTCCAAGTCCAGCACTTCGAGGGTTCGACTGGAGGCCACAGCGACAGCGAGCATCCCGGCTACCTGGTCACCTGTGGGAGGAGCAAACCAGGGCTGTCAGCAGTGCCTGCCTTCCCTCATGTAATGCCACATGCCCTCACGTGCCTGAGGCTGTCGTGGGAACATCCTCTGAGTATATCTGCCTGCAGACAGCCTTCCAAATCTGTTGCCTCATGGTGGAAAAAGAAGCTGTTAACTGAGAAAAGAGACAAGGAAAAGGTGCACCAATTTGTGGTTATGGAAGAAGTCACTGATTATCGGGGGAACACAAAGAAACACTGTGAGATTGGTTTTATTCCCCAAAGAACCATATCTTCCCAAATCTCCTTCCTACTCAAGGAAGCAAGAGCCTTTAACAGTCCCAGGGCATCCCAGACACAGAATAGCAGCTGAATACTTCAGTCTAGGGAAAGGCTGGAGTCAGAGGACTCTGCACCAGCTGGCTGACTGCCTCCCTGGGAAGGGGGTAGACTTTGATGGGGATGGCACAGGATGAGGAGCATTGAAGATTTATGTTGATGAAGAGAGGACTCCAGAATGTGTTCTGACAATCTCTGTCGAGTGTCAAGATGCCATACAACTGAGACACCTTCTCTTGGAACAAAACCCAGACTCCTGTCAAGTAACACCTGGGGCTTTTCCTGTCCAAAAGGAGGTACCTGGTCAGAGAAGAGGGCCTGGGGGAGGCTCTGCTGGCAGACAGGTTGAGGAGGGGAGTGTCATCCTGATGCTCAGGCATGGCCCAATCTCCTCCTCACCACCTTGCAGCAGAGCAGGAGAGAGTTTGTTTCTATGGCAACGAGTGCCAGGCTCTCCTCCTCCTCCTCCCTGCTCCTCCAGGAAGATGAAGGGGGGAGCATGGGGACATACTGCATCTGCAAAGCCAGCTTCAACGCTCCGGGCTTCAGGAAAAAGGGAGACATGGAGGGTCAAACGTGACGACAAAGGCAATGGAGTGGGCAAGGTACAGCCTCCTCTCTGCACCTCCATGCTGGGCATGTGGCCACCTCACACAAGCAGAGCAGTGAGGGTGGCTTCTCCTACAGCTGAAGGTGCCTGGCAGGGTGAACTTGCTGCTGGGGAACAGAGGGCACCTATGCAAGGAACTGCCCCATCCTGCTGTTGAAGCTCTACCACATTTCCAGAGCTTGGTCCCTGGCCACCCACTGGTGCAAGTCACACAAACACAGAGGCAGGAGTGCTCCTCCTCCCCAGCCCCCAGCTTACCTAGGGGGTTGTAGTCCAGGTTCAGCACGCGGAGCTGTGAGCTGTGAGCCACTGCAATGGCTAGGCGTCCCCAGCCTTTACTTGTGATGCCTGGGTTGGCGCTCAGTGTTAGCTCTTTGAGGCCTGGAGAAGGGAGAGAAGCCAAACCAGAGCCTTAGGGTCCCCAAAGCAGTCACAGAACTTGTTCAGCTCACCAGAACAGCTTTGGGTTGTGTCCCCTGTACTCTGTAGGGCTTAAGGGCTTGGTTTGCTCTGACAACTGTCATCACATATTTCAGTGATCAGTGAAATGTTTCACTGCCTTCAGCTGCGGCCCTTCATTTAACATGCTGCAACAGCCTCATTTATCTGCTCTCCCAACCTGAGTCCTGCTTACCCTAAACAGCAAACAATGGAAACTAAGGGGTGTGTGAGACAACTGACTGGGCAAAGAAGGTGGCATGAAGTGACAGGCTGGAGAGAGGATAACAGGGACAGTAGGCTCTGAAGCCTACACCTGAGAGGGGTGGCCAGCAGAGATAACAGCATCGGTGGCATTGTGCACACACAGAGGAAGGAGGTGCTGGGAAAGGTGGAGTCAGAAGAAAGGAGTGGTATTACCTCAGCACCTGCCAGCTCTCAGCTTGAATGGGTCACTGGCCTCACACCACCAAAGATCATTCCCTGCAAAGACCTGAGTCTTGGCACGAAGTCTGTGACTATGCAACTACACGCTCATGGAGTGCACCCGCGGGCAGGGACAACTCTCAGGCACTGATAATAAAGCTAAGTGCTCAGGTAGGGGCACACAATATATTTATCTACAGTGATTATCAACACAAAAATGCAAAATAATAAATTCCAAGTCCAAGCTGTCCTCTCCTCCAGTTTCAATGCTGCTGACATGAACCAGAAGCAACCTGTTAGTCCCTGAGCTCCAAACTGCTAGCAGGACAGATCAGTAGCAGAAAGCCCAAACCTGCCCAAGGGAATCACTCATCTATTGCTTGGCTTATCTGCTTTTCTTAAGTTAGGGGAAATAAATCCTTAGCCCTGGCAAACCACAGAGCCTGCCTCCTCCAGGGCTGAGGATTTAGTGCTGCATACATCTGATCTATGTGAAAGCTCTACCAGTCACTGAGCAGCCCACAGCCCCTGGTGCTTACCAGACTTGGCCCCATCAGGCGGCAGGAGCCCACAGATAAGGTTGATGCCTTCATCACCCAGCATGCAGTCTCCTAGATCCAGAGCCACCAGCGAAGGGTGGATGGAGAGAGCAGGGTTGAGGAGGGCCAAGCCTGCATCTGTCAAGGGACTCCCATGGAGGCTGTGCAGGTAAAAGGGAAAATTACTACGGAGCCTTCTTCCTGGGGGCTAACTAACCTGACAGGGAGGAAGAAGCAGCCAAATGAGGTGGATGACAAATAGTAACCCCAAGTGGGCAAAAAGCTTTGGGAAGCCTCTGTCGCTAGGGTCGGCTGGCCGCTACAGTGGCCATTCTCTCCCGGCCGGGACGAGGCGTGCAGGGAATGCCAGCGTTGAAGGGGCAGCCCCACCACCGGGGCTGGAAGACCGAGACGGAGAGGCAGGGCCGTGCCCAGCCGGCGGGGGCAGAGGTGGCTCCCTCCCAGCCAGGTGATGGGCAGGGGTTTATCCTCCGCAGCATCAAGGGCATTTTCCCTCCGACAAGACTCAAATTCAGGGACTGGCCCCGTGCCGAGAGTCCACCAAAAGAGCCGTCCCCGCCCGGGAGAGGACCGGGACCCCCTCGGCAGCCCCCCGCCGCACTGTACTCACAAGAGGGACTGAACGGAGCGGTTCGTCTTCAGGGCCTCGGCCAGCTGCTTGACGCGGTTGATATTAGAGACAATGCCCAGGTTGAGGTTGAGCTGAGCGAGGGAGCGGGACTCGGCCACCCCGCGGCAGACGTGCCCGAAGTCCCGCTCGGAGAGCTGGCAGCCCCGCAGCGACAGCAGCCGCACCGAATTCTCCCGCAGGCTCTCGCAGATGTCCCGGATCTCCGCCCCCGACAGCGTCTCCCCGGAGATCTGGATAGACCCCGGCAGCATCTTCCTGCGGCTGGGAGCGCCGCCGATCCCGGCGCAGCCCGGGAGCCAGGGGAGAGCCGCGTTGCGGGCCGGGGCGGGCGCCGCCGCCGCCGCCGGGCAGTCCCGGCCCGGCCCACCGCGGCCCCGGGGGCGGCACCGCGCTGCCTCACCGGCGGTGGCCGGGCCGCCCCGCTCCGCCCGGCGAGGCGGTGTGACCCAGGGGAGCCATCGGCGGGGGCTGATCCGCACCGGGCCGCAGGGTCGCGCCGTCCCGCAGCGCCGGGGTGGGCGGGGGCCGGGCAGTCCCGCGGGTCCCCGCCCCGCTCCGCCCGCACCTGCCGGGCCGCCCCGCCTCCTCCTGGCCGCCGCTCCGAGCCCTCCTCCCGCCCGGCCAGCGCCTCCCCGCGCAACGGAGCGGGCGGGGAGGGGCGTCCGGCAGCCCTCATTCCACCCCGGCATCGCGCCCGGCATCCCGGGCCCCGACGGCGTTCAAAGCCCGCCAGGGGCGACGGCAGCGCCCGCTGGCACCAGCCCGCTGCCCTGGGGAGATGCGGGGCCAGGGCCGGCCGGGCTGAGTCCCCGCCACTGGGGGTGATGGAAGCACCTGGGAAAGGCTCTCCATGCCAGTCCTGCTCCTACCTGGCGAAAGGGGCCCAAGCCATTGGGCCATGGTGCACTCTGGGTGCTTGGTCTGAGAAACTGTGGTGTTCCATGACTTCAGTGGCGTTTAATACTTCAACTCACTAAGCCTGAATCCTCGACTCATGACTTAGTGGCGAGGTCAATCTGATTTGCTCCTCACGGCCCAGAGCGTGCAAGAGCCAGTGCTTGGAGGCAGCTGCCTGGAGGTGAAAGTTGGAGGGTGGGGGAAGGGCCACAATTTTCCGTATCCCCCGAGTACACAGCCTCTGCCCTCAGCCTGACCTGAGGTATGTGGGGCACACCCCACCTCCTGCTAATTCACAGGTATGGATCACAGGGATCTGTCCACTCTCTCCCCATTGAGTAATCCTGTTCTTGGAGAGAAATAGGAAGCAGAGCCCCTGCGTTTTCAACTTCACTGAGCTGAAAAAGGAAGGCAGTGATGTGGAAATTAGGTTAAACCGCCTAAGTAGGCAGCTTTCTGCACGTAACTAATCTGGCTGCTGCATATAGCAGTGCTCAAATGAATTCCAGCCCAGTGGGTAACACTGAGACAAAACCAGGCTCCTCTGCTTGATTTGCAGGCCAGGGCTCCAGAGAGGGGATGGAAAGTGAAGAGAAAAATAGGGTGTGGAGGGAGATATGGAGCACTTTTCCTCCACTGAAATGGAGCAGCAGATCACCTGAGCTGAGGATGCATGTTAGGTCCTGGACAAGGTTAGGGGACCAGCAGCTTTAAGACTTTGGCTTAAACTCCCAATGTGGGCATCACCACGCCCTTTAAGTAATCCATCCCTGTTCTCTAGAGTACCTACACACCCTCCTCCTTCTTTCCCTGTTGCAGAGATGCATGACCTTGATACTGCTCCTGCCAGATACAGAAAGAACAGATGACTGGCCTCGCAATTCATCTGTGCTGCAATATGAGCAGCAGCTGCAAGCATCCAGCTGTGGTAGAACTGTGGTACTATGGCTTTCAGAAAAGGAGCAACTCATGTCTAAGGTCACATTAAAAAACCCAGGTGAGAATCTGATCCTACATATTGCAAGATGGTCAGAAGACTGGTTTTCAGAGTTATAGGCAGGGGGTAGCCAAGAAAATCCCAGCTGCTGCTGCTACTGCATACAGGTCAACTAGAAGGCTACACTCAGACTCACCTCTCAATTACCTCCAGGCACTACTCAACCCATGCTTTTTAAAGCAGACTATTATTAGAGAGGTGCTTGGAGGAGAGCCCTTGGGACATGTCCCACTTCCATTCACAGCAGTAGTTTTGAAACTTTGAAGAAGATGCCCTAGTGCCTCATCACTACCTGTTGTCAGGATCCAGAGCACATTGAGGAGACAAGTATCCCACCTACTTTATGCTCAATTCATTGAAAAAGTGGCACAGGACCTAATGGTCCAAAGCTTTGGCTCACAAACCTAATGCAGGGCTATGCAGAGGGGACTTTGGCAATGCTATTTTGTGTAGAACTAGGTATTTCCTCCTTGTCATGTGCAGTTACCCAGCAGGTATGAGGAAGGTCATTTATTGTTTACCTACTGGGGGCAAAAACTGGATGAACAGCAACTACAGTGAGAGTAGACCCAGGAAAGGAAACAAATGGGAGACTAAAGAGCCTACCTGTAACCCAAAATCACAACTAAGGTAACCATTAGTGCAACAAGGATAGACTGTAAGAAGAGTTGGACTCTCAGGTACTGCACAGAAGAGGAGGAGATCATAGATGCTTTAATATTAATTTTCAGCTTTAATATACAGCTTTCTCTTTCTAATCTGTCAGCTTTATATGTTTGTTCCATATTTAATAAAGGTGGGGCACAGAGCTACCTTTACTCAAAAGGGAGAAGAGGTGAGTGGGTTATTTCAGATTTGCTGCAAGGGAGAAGGGCGAAAATGATCTGATATTTGCTGCAAGAGCTATGGCAAGAAACAAAGAGATAGTATTGCACGATAGGGTTGTAAGGCTTGTTCTGGCAACTAGAAGACTTGAGTAAGCATTGAGATGCCCTCCCACAAGGACTTCATTAAGCCTGCGTGCTCAGCATGCTCCCTGGAACTGCAGCATGCATGCATTTCTCTGAAAAAACATGTCCTTCTCTGTCAGTGAAAGGCAATGCTGAAGCTCTCAGCTGAGTACTGAATTTCTGGCAGTAAAGAACAGTTCAGCTTCCAGCTGCTGCTGCACTAAGAATGAATCAGGGCCAAAGAACTGGAGCAGAGCAAGCCCCACAGGTTCCAAGAGGGTGGTTGGCTGTCACCCTGATCATGTCTCCAGCTGACAACACATAGGCTTCTCAGGGGAAGCAAGAGGAGTTTGCTCACTGCTCTCCTCTGTACTTTGAGTGAAAACACAGGGCACAGCTTCACCCCTCTGGTTCAGCTGAGTGGCTCAGTGCAGGAGCGAGCACCGATGTTGTCCAATTGTGTCGTAGATGAGCAATGGTACAAGTTTTATGCAGAAAGATTTTTTCCTCTCAGCTGAACTTACTCCAGTGACAATTGTGTCTTTCTCCTTTCTTTCCCCCCTGCCAGTACTTCCAGAGTTTGCACCAAGAGAAATAGATCCATTCTAGGCTGCCAGGGCAAGAACTTGGAATTAGAAACAAACCTCCCATGGAGATAGAAAGAGGGAAATACCAGAAGCAGCATTACAAACTAACACTTCCATTTTGTCAAGTTTTGAAGTAATAGAAATTCTAGGAGCTTAAAGTGGTTCAATTGGTCCAAAAACCCCCATGGAGACTACTAGCCAAAATAATTAACAATTCCCCCAAGTAGCTTGCTCTGAGTGCTGTTCTTCAGCCAAAATGTTTCCCAAGGAAGAGGGTCAGGAGGGGAGATGAGAGTGAGGGAACCTGTCTATTACGCATGCGATTGTTAGCAGTGAAGCTTTCTGTTCTTGAAAGGAGAACAAATGATGAATGTGGGAATAAGCAAATAGTGAAAAGTAGGTCTGTGACTGAAAATAATCAAGTCCGGTCCAGTGACTTTTTTTTCCACTGAAGCAGATGAAAAACCTGACTACAGTAGCTGGCACTATCTTCCTCTCTTTCATTGCACCTTGGCACTAGTCTGAGTGCCACTACAGCTGCATCCTCTCCCATTAATATAAACAAGGGACCAAAGAGGGCACTTCTAACATACTGCCTTGTGCACTTGTGGGCACACCAAGGAAGGGCTGTATCTTGGGGTTTTTTTTTCTGCCTGAGATTAAAGATGAGCTTCTCTGAGGGGTGACTCCTCTCAATCAGACATCTAGAACCACAGGAAGAGAAAAGATGAAAGCCAGTTACCAGCTAACAGCTTCTACTAGCAGAGCAGTAGAAGTTTGAGCAGTGAGGGAAGGCTGAGCTCCTCAGTTGTGAGTTGCTAAGCCTCGACTGGCCTGCTCTGCTTATCCATCCTTACTGGAGATTTCCTGCATCAATACACTGGAGATTAATATGGCCGCTCTATTTCCATTACACACTCTGCTATATCTCCCTTTGTTAAATGGAAACACCAGAGAAAAGCTTGCCAGAGACCTTCAAGGCCCGAAGAGCCCTTTCAAACAAAGGCTTAGACACAGCTTGAAAAGCCAGTCAGCACACAGCAGAATGGGTGTCTGGGGAACAGAACACCACTCCTGCCCACAGGTGACAGTCCCATGGCTGGGAGACACGATGGCCAGCAGCACAAGGGTGGGCTGAACTGGCCTCCTAATAGAAATATCCACTGAAGACATTGTACAAACATGCTGCCCTGCATGGACACAGAGTAACATGGGCAGAAAGGTGGCAGGAATAAAAGGTACAGTGAAAGCATGGGGACAGATACATTTCTGACATACAGAGCAGAAGGGATGCTGAGGTGAGATAGCAACTTGGACCAAGTGAAGAGAGAGAGATCAATATGGAACATGAGAAGAAAGAGCATGTGGTTAAGCACTGTGCTGTTCCTGAAAATCACCAGAGAAAGTGAACTTCCTGTGCCTTTTGAACTACTATGCCCTTGAAAAAGGTGCCCAGAACAGGACATGTAGCATAGAACATTTGAAGAAGGACAGCAGAAAATGCAAAGAATCCTGCTTTGAGCCTAAGACGTAACAGGTGAAAGCGCAGAGACCCAAATACCACGCTCCCATTAGACAAGCAGGCTCAAGCATAAGACATCACTCAGCACCAACATCAATTTAATTCTTCCCTCTCAGGACAGGAACAGGGCAGATACTCCTGGAGTTACATCAGCAAGCGGAAAGAGGGCTAAGGAACAAGCTGTGCTGGGAAATCCCAGCTAAACATGCAGGCAACAGAACCACTCTACTCAAGATAGCCCAGACCTGGATGGGGGAAGAGTGCAGCTCTTCTGAGTCACTGAGGTGTGACTGGCTTCCGCTGAGTCCGCTCAGCTGCCCAAAACCGTAATGCAGAGGACAGGTCCAGGAAAACAAAACCAAGTTGTCTTCTTGCTGTTCTGTCCTTTTCCTAACAGGCAGCAGGTTACTGTGGCCCTATGCAGCCCCAAAAGTAGTGAAGGAAGCAAGTCCAAGTCTGTAAAACTAGAGGGTCAATGCAATGGCTTTGGCTGTTGTGTTCAATACAGCATTGGAAACAGCTGGAATGTCTCGGGCAACTCTCTGAAAGGGCGGCACGTTGGGTCCTTCCAATGTGTCCAGGATACCTGGAGAACAGAAAAAAGAGGATAAAGACAAGAATTAGTTCAGATGATAGCAGATAGCACATTTCTTCTTGCTCTTCTCTCTGTCCAGGTAGTGGTTGAGGGTGGCAGGGCCTGTACACATCAGAGCTTGTGCTCAGGGCAGGAAAGCTACATGCTCCCAAAAAGTACACAGATCCTTTTACTTTGAGGGTGTCAGACCCAGTCCTTGACATTTGACCTGAATGCAGGTACTGCCAGAGATGTTGCCCTGCTGAGGGAAATTGATAAAATCCTGTTTCTACTTCATCCCAGCACAGATCTCGCTCTTAGACCAAGACTCTCTTTTATCCTGAAATACACTTGCAGACTCAGATCAGGAACTGCAGCTGTGCTGCAATGTGGAATTTTTGTCACTGCAATGCAAACAGACCATGCTTGGCAGGAAATACACAGACCAATGCAAATGTCCTCATTTCTCTGTCAATTACCCTCTCAAGATTGATAATCAGTTTTGGAGTGCTTTGAGGAAAATTGCTTGGAGTATATTTTATTCTATTTCATCTGCCAGAAAGCTACAGATCAGAACCTTTGCCATAAAAACAGATTCAGGAAAGACAAGATTTATATACAAAAGGACTTGTAATGATATTATGCTAATTATGCAGATTTATCAGAAATATCACAAACGCTGCTTAAACTGGCTGCCTAAACTGATAGAAGACACTTGCAGAATTGCGTATTTAGGGATCTGGAAACTCTCTAGAGATGGGGTAGGAGAAGAGTTCTGTTTTTGTTTGTTTTTTTAAGGAAGTTGAGATTTTGTTAGGAGAAAAGAAGAAGAGATAGAAGGAGAATGTGAACATCCATGTCCTGGTTAACAGTACCAGCTGGGGAAGATATAGCTTCTCCTATCTGTGCTATACAACACAAGATAAAAAAATATGTTAAACAAAGAAGTAAAAGCACTTATGACACATTTCCTGATCAGATAAAAGCAACCTGACTTCAACAATATTCAGGAAAGGGCTGGACATCTGCATGCAAGAAGAGTCAGTGCTTGTTACACTTCACTTGTGGGGAAATAATTAGGATCCTGCCTTACAAATTTGGTCTTAAGTGCTAAAACTCAGTGCACAGTAACTACCCCAATGTTTACCTGCTGCCCTACTTGAACAGCTTCTTCTAAAAAGCTAGTGGTAGTGATTTTAGAGTTGGAAACTGGCACAGATGCCCAAAGGACAGATTCAAACTGTCCATCCTCTCTCTCAGAGAGAGAAAAAACAACTTCTCTTCCCCCAGATCTAACAGGATATCTTTGTTTCTCCCTTGCTTACCTTCTACCACCTTGTGATAAGCAAAGTGCAGATAGAGGAGGAAAAGCATATGCAGAGCAGCAAGAGTCCCACACAGGATGAGCCGCTGGGTATGTCCCACGGTGCGTGACACCAACACAGCAACCTAAGAGAGAGGAGGTGATCAGAGACAGGGCACCTGCTACCTGAGCCTCTGGCACTGCAGTCAGAAACACATGGAAGAACAGGTCAGGCAGTGAGAATCTGCAGGAACACTACACTAAGTATTTTTCGCAGTTTTCACCAAATTTGGAGAATCTTCTCAACAAATTTGGAGAAATTTGATACTGTTTTGTATAGGTGAACCTTGCCCAGTCTTGCCAAGAGTTCAGGATGCTCAGGCATGGCTCTCCACAGCAGCAAGGGCTGTAAGGGAGTAAATAAACCTCCTGCAGCTCTTAGAATGGGTGAGGATATTAATCCAAATAGCACTTCCATATAGCAGCAGTCAAATTATTCAGGAGCATCATTTTCTCCAGAGCAGTTCATCTGGCTGTGAAATGAACCACCAGGCCAAGGAACAGAAAGCAAACCTTCCCTCCCTTTTTTTGTCCCAGAAGGACCCCAGGCTCCCTATCCCTTACCATCCGTAGTGTCGAGAGTCCACCAACAACCAACCAGAAGATATAGAAGAGGGAGTGGAAGTGGATATTATAGGTGACAAAGAGAGTGATGCAGTGTCCGAAAAGACCGTAGCCCTGACAAAAAAAAAATGTCCATGTTAGGAGCACCGGTCCCACACAAAGGGCCATTGATCAAGAGCACGAACAGCCTATTCCTGCAACACTTCACCACAGCAAAGCCTGACAAACGACTCATTCACTGCCGAAGAGTCAACCAGAACAACAACTTCAACAGCAGCTCACACACAGGTAATCTGTCTGAAGGATTCACAGGCATGTCAGAGATTGTGACAACATAGGAAACAGAGGAAAGATCCTCCAGTCCCAGAGAAACTGGAGTCTCCTGGCTTTTTACCACCAGGTTCTCAAATCAGCAAGTGCAAAGCAAGAGACCTGCATAAGGAACTGCCTCTTTGTACTATTGTTGTGCCTGGGATGGGGCAGGTCAGAAGAACGTCCTGGAATTCCAGGTTGTCCCAGTGCAGTTACCTGGGACCAGCAGTTTACAAAAACTTTTTCTGTTTTTTGGGAAAAGCTTATTCTGGAACACCATACAGCCAGTGTGCATCATAGGGCAGCTCCATGAGTACATACCAACAGTGACAGCATCTGCACCATCGTGATTTGGGCATTGCACAGATATGCCAGGAAATACATGAAAGATGAGACACCCAGCCAGTAACCGAAGCAGGTGCCAATGGCTGTGCCCATCAACGTGCCTTCCCTCTGTGGAGACAGTGTCAGGATGAGAAGAACTCAAAGAAGTGACCTGCCAGTACCCAAATTAACCCATGAGAGTCCCAGACACTTTGTAGGCATTATTAAACAGCTGCCCAGCAGCATTCAGGGGGCCACAGGACCTACACCCCAAGCTCTCCCAGCAGCATAGTGTCAAGACTTTCTGGTACATCCTTCTTCCCACCTCCAAACCAACATCCTCAAATCAATCTTCATTTCAGCAAGATGCTTATTCAGTTACAGAAGAGGTTTCCTCTCCTTTTCTAGTGCCATTATGGCAACCCAGAGCCCAGTCAAACCACCACTTATCACTGAAACTCGACGTACAATGATGGTGTCCGAGGTCTTCATTCCATGCAAAAGAATGGCCACCAGTGTGAAAACCAGCATGAGGGGTCCATACAGCTCGCCTGCAATCTTCTACAGGAGGAGACAGGTGAGGCAAAGTTTGGTTAGAGCCCCAGAATATCAGGGTTCCCACCACAGGTGATGTGAAAAGTGCACTGGATGAAGTTTAGCACCCAGGTTATCACCTGAGGTTAGGTGACAGCACGCTGAGGTTTGGAACAACCATGGGAAGGAGCCACCAACATTTTCAGGAAGAAGAACACCTAACAAACTGAGTCCTTAATAACATGGATTATTACAAGTTTTACAAGGTGTCTGTGGGACAGCCACTTGGCCATGGAGTCTGATTCAGCAAAAGGGAACTCACCTGTGGGAAATTAATCATCTTCACAGGAATCATGGACTCCAGCAGTCTGCATCACAGGAAAGCAGGGAATGACAACAGGAGCAGCGAGAACAACAGGATAATTAACAAAATGCTTCATAAGTAAAAGATACCATATACCCATTACCAGTGTTTGCTATTGCTATTGTGTTGACAGGCCTTGAGGGACAGAGGATTCTTTCTAAAGGGTGAGTTAAGGTCACTAAAGAAGGAAAACCTTACTGTCAAGTGGGTTAACTTTGCTGAGGAGGGGCAGATTCAATGAAAATGTTTAGGGATCCACTCAAGGATGAGAGACCATTGACAGAAGAGCAGGAAGGAAAGGCAAGTTTCCTCATAAAGGCTCACAAAACTTGGCTTCGTTGGACACAACTGTGTTGCAAACCCAACAGAAACCACTTAGGGCAGCCAAGTACAAAAAGAGCCCCTTCTCCTACCCTCGGCAGCAATGCCAGGTGACAGGGCTGCCAGCCCAAGCTCAGGACCTCGCTAAGGCGGGCAGGACAAGGCACGATGTGTCTGCCCATAGGTGAGCGTTCCTGCAGGGCCCGCTGGCGCTCGCTCGCTCGGAGCTGGCAGCCAGACTGCTGCGGGCACGGAGCCGCTGCCTCCCCGCAGCCCACCTGGCTCGCACTTGGACGGGCTCCACATCGAAGTAGGGCCGGAGGATGTCGATGTTGGCGTAGAGGCTGAAGGCCCTGGAGGCTTGTCTCTTCCCCACCTGCCACATCTGCGGAGAGAAGGAGCGGGCAGCGGCCGGGCGGACAGGCAGGACCCGGGGCCGGAGGCGACCGGGAGACAGCGCTCACCTGGTCAGCGACCTGCCGGCCCAGCTGCCCCCTCAGCCCCTTCATGCCCAGGAACTCCCCGTCCTCCTCCTCCTCGCCGGCGCCCGCCTCGCCCTCCGCCTCCTCCTCCTCTTCCTCCTTCATGCGCTGGTGCATCTCCCCCATGTCCTCGAAGCTGGAGCCCGACGTGTCGTCCATGTTCTCCATGTCGATGACAGCGGAGCCGCCACCCTGCGCCGGGGCAGACTTGGCGTCAGCACCCCCTCAGTCCGGCCGCCCCGGCCCCGCCGCCCCCGGTCCGGCCCCACCTGCATGTTGTCCTCGAAGCCGCCCCATTCGGCGGCGGGGGCGCCGCTCCTGCCGCCGCCCGCCGCGGCCATGGCGCCCGTCCCCTCCCGGCCCCGGTGCCCGTCCCGGCCCCGCCGCGCTGGCCCGGATGGGCGGGAGCGGATGTGACGGAGCCTCCCGGCGCAGCAGCACTGCCCATCGCGCTCATGGCGGCGCGGCGGGGCACGGACGAGATGCGGGACCGCGTGGTGCTGGGCGAGTTCGGCGTGCGCAACGTGAGCGAGCCCGGCGGGCGGGGCGGGGCGGGGCGGGGGCGGCCGGCGCCCACACCCCCTCACCGCCCCTCCTTGCCCTTTCCCCGCAGGTCCACACCACCGACTTCCCCGGGAACTACCCCGGCTACGAGGACGCCTGGGACCAGCGGCGCTTCGAGGAGGTGGGTGAGCGGTGCCGGGCCGGGGCTGGCCGTGGGAACGGGGCCCTGCGGCCGGCTGACCCGCGGTGCGCGGCTCCCGCAGGCGTTCCGCGTGGACGTCATCCGTGAGGAAGAGGACGCCCTGGAGTTCGACATGGTGGGCATCGACGCCGCCATCGCCAACGCCTTCCGCCGCATCCTGCTCGCCGAGGTACCGCTGCTCACCTGGCGGTGCCGGCCTAAGCCTGGCTTGACAGGGAGCGTGGAATGTTCAGCCTCGTCAGCCCTTGCGGACAGCTGCGGGCTTTGGAAGAGAAGCACATGTTCGTTCCGCATGGGTGCCGGGAGCCCAAAGAGAATTAGGACTTCAGCAGCATGGGCGATACCGCCTATTGGTCCTAGGGGTGCTGTTGGTAATGTCTGCGGGTCAGCCTTTTCAACACAACTGTGTTGCCAACCCAACAGAAGCCACATAATGCTGCCAAGTACTAACAGGTTCAGGATGCCCCAAAGCCGTTTCTCCTGTCCTTCGCCTCTTGATTGTTTAAAAAAAATGGGGATAGGAATAGATGTGATGTAAGGGTATATTGCATAGCCTGATTTGGTAGAAATACCACTCAAAATAGTCTGCTTGGCAGTTATTTGTGGGAGAGGAGGGACACTTGAGCTGCATAATCTCTTGGCATGTAGTTCAACCATTGTCTTAAGCTGACTTGATCTCTTGTCTCCTTGAGGTGCCAACGATGGCTGTAGAGAAAGTCTTTGTGTACAACAACACATCCATTGTGCAGGATGAAATTCTGGCTCATCGGTTGGGCCTCATCCCTATCCGAGCTGACCCTAGGCTCTTTGAGTACAGAAACCAAGGTGAGAATCTTGAATAGAATAGAAATATTGAAGGTTTCTCTCAAAGTAGGAAATCAGGGTTGTGTAAACTGAGCAGAAGTGTGATTTCATATGCTTCTTCCCAGGAGATCAGGAAGGCACTGAAATTGATACTCTGCAGTTTCAGCTGAAAATCAAGTGCAAACGAAACCCTCAGGCTGCCAAGGAATCATCTGATCCTGATGAACTATATTTCAATCATAAAGGTGAGATTGCTCCTAAAAATAGGTGGTGCTTTTTCTTTTTGGTCTTGGGCTGTTTTCTCAGCCCTATGTGCTCACAGGGAGAGTTGATTCCATTCTGCTAAACTTTCTTTTTGCTATCTCCAGTCCTATACAGGTGAATGACCTGCTTTGAGGCAACAGCTGGCTGATGCTTGTGGCTTCTCTTTGCAGTGTACAGTAAACACATGACATGGGTGCCCTTGGGGAATCAGACAGACCTTTTCCCAGATGCTGACTTCCGACCTGTTCATGATGACATCCTCATTGCACTGCTGAGACCTGGACAGGAAATAGATGTGCTTATGCACTGTGTCAAGGGTATAGGTGAGTCGTGGCTCCTGGGGCAGCAGGATAAGGAATGTGAGTGTTTGGACTAGGGCACTGTGGTGTGATGGGGAAGGGTGGAGAACTGGCTTTTCCCCTGGAACTTCAGGCCCCAGTATCCTTGTTCCCTGGGGCCTGCTCTCATCCTTGACTCTTAACTCTTCATACAGGTAAGGATCATGCCAAGTTTTCTCCTGTGGCCACAGCCAGTTATCGACTGCTTCCTGACATTACTCTCCTGCAGCCTGTTGAGGATGAGGCAGCTGAGACATTGCAGAAGTGCTTCTCCCCTGGGGTCATTGAGATCCAGAATATCAATGGTACTTTTTTCCTGCGCTAACTGCTGTGTTCCTTGCAAGCTTTAGATTGGAGCTTAGAGCCAAACTTTGCAGAAACAAAACCACATGTGATATTGCCTTGCTGATCAATGGTTCATGTTCTTCCAAGCTTACTTTTATGGATGAGTGGCTGCCACGTGCAGCATGTTGGGTGACGAACAGGGATGTCCCTGAAATAAATTGGATACCTGTCCACAGAGCTCTGCAGCTGTTGACTGCAGCTTGCAGTGCTGTTCAGTTGTGACACTGGGTAGTGAGCTGGAAAAGCAGCTGAGTGTGGAGACTTATTGTATCCTTCCGGGGTGCATGTACACTTTGTGTTTGGGTTTTCCTGCCAGGTTGGAGTTTCATGTTGGGTAAATGCTAATTCTTTTTATTGGTGTCTCCCAGTCTTTGGTGAGGAGGGAGTGCCTGTTTGAGGTAAGCACATGATGTGACCATAAGGCTGCTGTGGTTTGATGGATGTGACCATCCACCTGCTGCAATTTGTCCATCTCGTTTCATCTTCCCTTTAGGAAAAAAGGTGGCAAGAGTAGCCAATGCACGGCTGGACACATTCAGCAGAGAAGTTTTCCGACATGAGGGTCTGAAAAACCTCGTGCGCCTGGCAAGAGTACGGAACCATTACATCTGTAAGTGCCCCGTTTTCCACAGAGTCCTGACATGGTTTGTGTGAGCAAGCAGTGACTGACCAGCATGTGTGGCTGGCTCTGTGCCTCTTCCTACCCTCAGCATCCATGCATTCAGAACGCGGTGGGTAACTACTTGCTTTGGGATTGAATCTCTTGGTGCTTCCTGCTGGCAAAGGGAGCTGCTTCTCTGTCTGTGAAGATCTGGCTTGTTGCTGTGAGGTGCAAGGGAAGGTGAGGGCCAGCAGCATGGAGCCAGGGGCATGGAGGCTGAGGCTGCCTCGTGGCTGTGCTGACTTGTGTCTGTCTCTGTGCAGTTTCAGTGGAGTCGACGGGTATCTTGCCTCCAGATGTGCTAGTGAGTGAAGCCATCAAGATCCTGATGGGAAAGTGTCAGCGTTTCCTCAATGAGCTGGACTCTGTGTCTATGGAGTGACCGGGCTGTAGCTGGGAAAGCAGAAACCTGCACTGCTGTTCTGGGCTTCCTGCACCTGCCTCTAGGGGGGATTCCTCTTCCATAGGCAGGAGGCTCGTTAGGGGCTTCTTGCTAGAAGTCCAAGGACTATCTCTTTGGGTTTTTCTGTTGGTAATGAGCTGTAGTGAGAAGATGCACTAAAATAAAGGCTTTTTTTAAAAAAGCTGTCTCCTGTGCCATTCACAATTGTGAAACCATAATACATGGAGAAGAGATGGTAGCATGTCTAAAGATGAGTAACAGCATTTATTTTAGATGGTATGCAGTGAGGAGGACTGATAGGGCAGCGTCATAAAGCACTTCACAGCAGGTCAGTGAGGTTCAGTAAGTTGCTGTCAGAGCACGGCTGTTTTGTGGGTGTTTCAGACCAGATCAGGGATGGTTAATATGGTATAGAAAAGGCTGTACTGGCAGAGGACTGGAACACCTCTCCCATGAAGAAACAGAGTGCTGGGATTGTTCAGTCTGGAGAACAAGAAAGCTCCAGGGAGACCCTGTTCTGGCCTTTTAGTATCTAAAGGGGGCATGGAGAAAGACTTTACCATGGTCTGTAGTGACAGGCTAAGGGCCAACAGTTTTGAACTGGAAGAAGGTAGACTTATATTGAACATTAGGTATTTTTTACAATGAGGGTAGAGGTAAGTTGTCACAGGTTGCCCAGAGCTGTGAATGCCCCATCCCTGGAAGTGTTTGAGGCCAGGTTACTTGCGGCATGTTAAGAGTTGAAAATGTCTGGGAGTATTGTTGTGTCCCAGTTGCTGAAGTCAATGCACGCTATAGTGCCGGACCTCAGCAAGTAATGAAAGTTCTGTTTCCTTGGGGTAGAATTACTTAAGAGTGTAAACATCCTCTTAGGCTGAATATGCTGTAGGGAGGGGATACACGTGGCATCCTGGCTCCAACCCCAACCGTCCTATGCCATGCTGCAGACCCAGGCATATGGTCCATGTGCCTATCACATGTTATCACTATCTATCTATCTGCTTTTCATTGCTACTACTTCACATGCTTATGGGACAGACCCTTGAAAAGCCTAAGGGTTTTGCTTTGATAGCACATACCCCTCAAGCTGTAAGCTGAGACCTAGAATTAAAATAAACTAGCAGTGACAAATAAGTACTTTAAAAATGCAATTTCACCTAATTAAACTATATAGTCTGGAATGGTTCATCCCCTCCCTGACAACGTATTAACCACCAGCAAAGGTGTCCCCTTTTTGGTAGCTGGAATAAGGAATGCTGAGAAATCTCCAGGCAGGTAGTCTGGTCAGACCAGAGGCCCCCAGATCTTATTGAAACAGATAAAAGAATAAAAATGAAACATGACACCATGTGTATGAAACTGGAATAGCTTTATTTGACATTCAGGTGTAACACAGCCAGTTCAGAGACAGCTTCAGATTTAAACGTTCCTACAAAAAAGGTTTAAAATCCATTTTACAAAAACCCCTTGTGTCTAGCATGAAGTCACAGAATGTTAAAAATATCACAACACAATAAATACACCCAGCCTTTGCTAGAGTCAGGAGCCATGTTAGCTCAGAGGTTAAAAAAGTCTGAGGCTAGGAAAAAAGTGGAGGGTGCTGGTGGAACAGCAGGGGCAGGAAGGAGGGTGAGTGGATGCCCAAGGCCTGCTCTTCCTATCTGGACTCTCACACCTCCCAGCCCCAGCCTTTTTGTCCAGTCTGTCCATGTGGAGACATCACTTCTCCACCTACCACAGTTTATTACTTGTTCTGTCTCCTGGATGGCAAAACTGCCAGCTAGCTCTGGACAGACCCTCCTAGCTCCTGTGGTAACTCTAGGATAGATTGTGTATATTTGTCATGTAAGAAGAACCAGCTTTGCAGACTGGAGTGGCTTCATAAGAGTCCCACCACATCTAAAACCCAGTTTCTGACCTGGCTCCCTCCTGTAAACTGCAGTATAAAGCCCGCCCCTCCTGCCCCACCATGCAATTCTCTGGGAAGTACCAGACTGGGTAAAAACAGGGGCTACTGTCACCTCCACTGCAACAGGGCAAGAAGATCCCTTTTGGACTGCAGGTACTTCAGGTATTGGTCCAGATTTTATTTACCCTGCGCTGGCCAAGTTCTACAGGGCATGGAAAAATGAAAAAAAAAATTAAGAAAAAAATATGTCCTGCTCCCCCTGAGAGATGTCCAAGAAAGGCTGGCACAAAGTAAAAGCCTTCCATTTGGCTCTGGGTAGAACAAGCTGTATGATCGTATCTATACATACATATGTATATATATGACAGTGTCTGCCTCTTTCTAGAGAGCAGTTGCACCTTAGGAAGGCTGATCTCACAGGAGATCCTAGAGCACTGCTAGGCTTCCTGGCCCTTAGCCCAAGGCTCAGCATCCTGGAGGGAAACAGATTCAGCAGAATTCCAGTCCGCTAGGGACAAGTGCTGATAAGCGTGACAGGAGTGTCCGATGTGTTCCCTACAAAGCCTGGCTACTAGCACCCAGGGGAAGATTACATTAGGGTAGCCCCTTTTCACATGGCACACTACTCTGCCTTTTGCATTAATCCTAAACCCCAAAGGCTGAAGAGGTGGAGCAAGAGTGACCCAAGGCTACAAGATTATCAGGCTTTACCCTAACAAGGTCTATGGACTCAGCTCCCACCTTGCAGAGAAGCAGAGGTCTAAAGATGCTCATCCAATGGAGGGGAAGGAGTCATGGGAAGAGCTTAATATTGACTGGTTCAAATGCCACCGCAAGCCCCATCCCAGTGTATGGAAGAGAAGGGGACAGGACCCGTAAGGGGCTTTACTCAGATGAGTGCTTGTGGAGGCAGTGACAAGGAGAATCTAATGTGCTTACTATGAGGAGAGACAAATTATAAGGTATGGGAGGAGATGGTTGCAGCATCCCAGGCTCAGGGTTCAAAGAGTACATTGAAGCCCTCTCCATCCTCGTTTTCTAGCACGTCTGTCTCCAGTGATGGCTTCACCTTTTTGAAGAGAGACGGAAGGTTCCGGATATGAACCTCCTTGCGGAACTGCTCCCCGATGGGCTTCTGCAGAGGACAGACAGGCAGGCATCAATCATTACTGTGTTCATTCCCCAACTCAGCTCAGGGGTAGTTTGCTTGCACATCAGAGGCAGATCCTAGGTTCTGAGCAATCCCTAGGCTGGTCCCTGTTCTTGCATTTTGAGGAATTTCAGGCCTGGCCTCTCCCAAGTGCCAAGTTACCAAGTGAGGTAACCTTTCAGTTCCCCAGCTTCTAATTTAATGTCAAAGTTTCCACCACCACCACCCTCACAGAAGTCCAGTGCCCACCCAGCAGCTTCAAACAAACATTTTAACACCCTGTTTCCCTGGGCACCCTTGTGCAAGGCACCTGCTGCCTCTTAGTGAGAGGCCATTGCTGGAGGGGCTGCTCAGTCTGCTGGACCTCCAGGGTGAGGAGAGGCAGAACCAACACTAAGAACAAGCTGCAATAGCCTCTTGGCTGGGAAGAGGGGTGGTTGGTGAGAGGAGGCAGGCTGGCCACCCCATCTCTTCTGCAGCATACAGCTGTGAAATTTTCCTCCAGGATATCACTTACCCCAATGCAACCTGAGATGAGGCGCTTGAAGTGATCCTTCCGGCGCTTGTCTGCCATTTTTTGCAGTGTTGGGTTGAGAAGCTTTGAATCAAACTGCTCCAAAGAGTCCAGCTGGATGTCTGGGATCTGCTCCATCACTGCCTTCAGCTCACCATAACGAGGGCGCTGCATGGAGAAGTACCATTAACACAGCTCTGCTAGAGTAACAGCCTTCCCTCACTGGGGGGCCATTAACTCCTCTGCCCCTATTCACTAGGCATGGGATTACTTTTCACCATTCCCCTCATACTCCTCAACCTCACATTTGGATGAAGAGCAGAACTTCTCACCAAGGCCTCGTAGATCTGGAAAGCCAGGTGGACAAGAGCTGCCATGCAGCCATCGTGCTGCCCATGTACCTGTAAGCCCTTGAGCACACTTGTGAAAAACCAGGACACAGCATCGGGAAGGAGGTTTCCTGGAAGCACCTGGAGAAGAAGCATTGTCAGCACTGAAGCAAGATACTGGTGGTACACAACACCACCTTTTCTGCAACAGCTTGCTCTTCCTGAGGGAGAAGGTGCCCAGGGGTGAAGGAGCCACACTTCTAACAACATTTAGAGCTTCCTCTTCCAACCCTGCCAGAGCTAATCCCTTCTTCCTCCCAGAGATACCTGTTTGAGCAGTGGCCAGCAAAGCTGTGTTGTGGTTCTTTGGCAGGATAAGGTGTCCTTCCAGGACAGGGATGTGTAGGCGGTGATCAGAACTGCAGTGCAAACATCCTGAAAAGGAGTCAGAGGGGAAAACCAGTCAGAGGAACTATTTTCTACTTCCACCATTCAAACCTCATGGGAGCCAAGAAGCAACCCAGAGAATCTGCAGGAGCTTCTGAGAATCCTGCATCTTACTGTTGCTCATCCAGTGTGCACCATCAGAACCAGAAGATAGCAGTGCTAAGTTAACCTGCTCCCTTCAACTCCTTGGGAAAAACCCTGGAGCACTCATGGACTCCCCTCAGCTGCTACTCTCAAGTCACTACAAAAGCTTCTACAAGAGCTTCTGAGGCATCCACAGCAGAGAATACAGAAAAATAAAGCTGGATGAAAACTGGGGCCCAGGATAAAGGTAGAGCCAGGGAGCACCCTGGGGGCTGAATATCCAGGGCCTCTTCCCCAGGAGGACTGAAGCTCTCTAGCTGTGTGTTATAACTGGATCCCAGCTCCCATTTGCTTTGTGGCTTCTGCAAGGCCCCTAGAAGCCATATATGTTCCTAAGAGGTGATTCCCACATGGGGAACACTCCAGCAGCCTAGATCTCTGCAGCAGTGTCTGGCTGCAGAGCAGACAATGTGACAAAGAGTATAGAGAAAGGATGGTGGCAATCAGAGCACATGCTCTTACCTCTTGCTTCATCAGACACTTGCCAAGCTCAGTGAGCTCTGCGTTGGCAGGGGGAGTCACCTCTGTGGCCATCGCCTCATCATCTGCAGAGCAAAGGCTGCACTGTGAACACGGCCTCCCAAGGACTGAGTGGGACACAGGGAGGCCGCAAGAACTAAGCTGGGAGCCAGGAGACAGCACACAGAATCAGTGTCCTGGCACAGCTTACCCAGAATCTCTTTTCAAGCAAAAAGCACCCACCTTTTGTGGGGCAGGAGGAGCATGCAACTAGCTACCTTCAGCTCTTGGGAAGCTGTTCACATCCCCCTCTGCTCCTCAACTCAATTCTCAGAACCTTAAGAACCAGCTGTTCCAATATGCCACCCGAATCCTGCAGGACATTCATTTCCAGGCTAGACTAGGCTTTTCTGTGGCCCCCAGGCACGCTGGGCAGGACAGAGCTGAAGGCTTTTTTCCAAACCTATACCCCTGACACAGAACTTCCAGCATCAGCCCAACCTCCCCCTCAAGAAACAGAAAAGGAACAGCATTTGTGTACTCCAAGGACAGGAAAGCAAAGGTAGGCATTTACTTACCATCCCCATCTACAGCAGCAGTAGTGTTCTGTTCAACACCTTTCTTAGAAACACAGCAAACAGCTGCAAAAACAGTTGCGGGTCAGAGGAGCAGAAAAGGGAAGATCCTTCTGCAGAACATGCAGAGATTATCCTACAGACTCTGTTGGGCTCACAGCTGCTTCAAGCTCTCCCAGCTCTTACAGGGAATCAGAAGAATCAGAAAGCCCAGTATAAAAGCTCAATACTGCACTACCTGGAAGGCTGTAACACCCCACCCACAGTACCTTCCCACAGTGGAACCTGCTGCACAGTGGTTGCTTCCTACTACTGAGAACCAGGAATGTGCAAAACCATCTGAAGCCCATAATGCAAGAAGAACACTGATTTAAAGCAAAAAAAGCCAGTCAAGAAAGGAGATAGAAGATTGAGATCTGTAATCTCCATGGAATCAATTTCCCCAGCCTTCCTGTACAAAGCCATGCTGACACAAAAATGTTGGAGAAGGCAATACAAGGGAGACTGCTTTGGGAGACGGACTCTTCCCTTATGTCTGGTTAGAGACATGGCAATTGCTAACAACAAAACTGCTCAACACTTGGCTTGTCCACAAATCCATGGCCCATACAGGGTTCCAAAGCACAGAATGGGAGAACCCAATTCCCTGCAGGACTGGATTCCTACAGGAATGTTGCCAAAACCATGGAGCCCTAAAAGCTAACAAATGGAAGAATACCTCTTCCACAGGTTTTCAATTATCTCATACTAGGTTTTAGCTAAAATTTTGGCAGGGCTGTCTCACATCTGCCTTCTCATGGGTATGTTACATACTAATGATGGTTCTAATTAAGTTTTACTGCACATTGGGAATTCCTGTTGTGCACTCCAAGGAAAACTTCCCACATATCTCAGCAGACCTAATCTGATTTCACTTACTGGCAAGATCCATGACTTCTCGAGTCAGCAGTCTGACCAGCTGTTCCTCAAGCATCTCCTGAGACTCGGGGTTGTCATCTCCAGCATCATCCTCACTGAGGAGAACAGGTTTTAGTTTGACAGAAGCCAAGGTTTTCAAGTACCCCTCCACCCAAACACAGGGAATGAGTCACCACTGTGTCTTTCAGCCCTTTTTGGCAGGGATGTTCCTGGGCAAAGGGCCACATAAAGGACCCCATTTCCCTCTGTACCAAGGGGTGGAAGCTTACCAGAGCATGCTTCGCTGGTTGATCACCTGCCATTTCTGGGATAACCTCTGTTCAAGACAGAAGGAAAGATTAAGTCTGGACACAATGCAAGGAGACCCAAACAATATCTGCTGGCAGAAGCACAAGAGCTTTAAATGCCAAGACCCATTTTCAATGGCAGGAGAACTGGTATCAAGTGTGCTGGAATGTGAATGAGCTGTCATGAAAATGAGAGGACACAGGAAAAAAAGCCAAAAACAAACCCAAAAACTATCATGGCTGCAGGCTGAGGAGTTCATGTCCACAGGTTTGAACTCACAGCAAGGGCTGCTGTGCAACAGCCAGGGTTCAACGCACTTTAAAACCTCCCCCCGCAAACATCATCAAAATCATTAAGAATCAAGACTCTGCCTTCGTCTCTGCTGGCTCTGTAGAGACAGACATTCCCACATGTTCCTGCCAGCTGCTAAAGGGAGTCAGGGATGTCAAGGAACAGGCACTGAACAAGCTGTTTCTTACCATGTGCAGATAGGTAAAGAGTGGTCCCAGCATGGGGCAGACAAGGGTTTCGTAGTATTCTGCAGGGCAGGAAAGCACCAAGGGCTTCACAAACACACCTGCACAGACCAGTTAAGGAAGAGATCCAACACAGCCAGCTGCTAGGGAGACTGCAGCACACTGCCCAAGCCAGCCCATTCCACTGGGAGCCAAGGGACAGACACTTGGAAGCCCACCTTCTCACAGCCCTAAATTAACAAGTGGCATCTCTGTACAGCAAGAAGTTCAGTTATTCAACTCTTTCCTCGACAGTTCAGCAGAGAAAGTTAAGGGTACTTAGCACCCATTTCCTATCTGTGAGACTGAATATCCAGCCTGGGAAAGCAGGTTGGGAAACCCACATGATCTCCCGGAGATGCACATCCTAATGTCAAGCTCCTCACTATCCAAGCTGTCATGCCGCTCAAAAGGCACTACT